TTTCAACCTAAACCGTTACTGCTTCCATTACTCTCAAGCTTTCGAACTCTTATTTCTCCAAAACTCTCAACCGCTAAATTCGACTATGGCTTTCTTGAACTTCACTGATCTTTCCAAGGAACAAAAAGCAACCCTGCTCAAGAATGTGTTGACAGAGATGAAGTGCGAACTGGATGTTCTACCCAGATTTGCTGAGAAAAGAGACAGGATGACCAACATCATTGACGGGCTGACAGAGTGTCAACTAAGCAAGGTCATCACCTATGCTTATGAAGTCTACAACAACATTGACACTGTTGAGGTTTATCTCAACGCGTCCTTCGAGGATGAAACCATCACCTCCAGTGTCCAATGAGAAGAAATATTGGTTGATGCTGACGTCATCAACAAGGTATTTGACATTCAACTAGAGGAAGGCAGGGCCTCTCTATTTGATTTGGAGGAAGCTGACGTCACTGTTCTTGAATTCAAAAGGAACTATTGCAGAAAAGGGGAAGAAGTGGAGAAGGTGAACATCAAGAAAAATATGCTCAAGAAGGACTTTGAGCTGCTCATCAACATTTTCCACAAGTGTTTATGGTGCAAGTTTACCTCTACTGATGATGTTACTACTGCAAATGCCAAGGCCCTATATGCAGTACATCATGGGGTAAATGTCAACTGGGGACAGGTTATGGTTCGGTCTCTGATTGAGTTCATCAAGAAGAAGAACCCCAAGACAGACCTTTATTCTGGAAAGTTAGGGCATGGGTTGCTCATCTCAGAACTGCTTCTCAATCAAGGTGTAACCTTGAGGAAGGCCATACCTCTGGATCACACAAAGGTAATCTTCCTATCTGCTTCTCCAAACAGGGAAATAGCCATCAAGGCAGAGCTGAAGAGACAGCTTCAGCTTGACAACAAAAGACAACAAGGAGACAAGGTTCAAAAACCTCTCTCTAAAGCACCTTCTGTGGAGAAGAAGAAGAAAAAGGTGAAGAAAACAGAATTGGTTGCTCCTCCTCCACCCATGAAGGCTGGACAGAAAAGGAAGAGGCCCACCAAGACCAAAAAGAAGGTTGCTAAACCTTTGATCACCGTGTCTGAGAAGGTGGCAGACATTCAGGGGGAACCAGAGAACTCCACCTCTGTTGCCACTCCAGAACAGAATAGGGTGCCAACTTCAACAGAACACCCCAGCACTGACAAAGAAGGGTATCTGTCTTTACTAGATAGACAGTTTGCTCGTGTTCTAGAATGGAGAAGATGGAAGATGGGACCCCTTCACAAGATCATCCAATTCTTTGATCATTATGAGCCTGAAGAAGAGGCCATACTGAAGTGGGTAGGCACTGATGATGTCTCCAAGTGTTTTGCCCTCAACTTACTCCATTCTGTCCTTGAGAAGAAGAAGGCAGGTTACAAGGGAAAAGCTGTTCTCATATCCTCACCTTCGGAGGAGACAACCAAACCCCTGCAAGAAGGAGAGATAGAAGCATTTGAGGAATGGCTCTTTGCCAAGAAGGCAACAGAGTCTGTACAACCCAACTTTGACCCTGGAGAACCCTCTGTACCTAAGACAGAAGGGCAAGCTATGATGGAGCTCATCAAGGAATGGAGGGCTTCTTTGATTGAAGAAAATATAATTGAGGTAATCTCTCCAACTCCTTCTGTTCACATCTTAACAGAACCCCAAGTCCCTTCCCTTCTTATTACAACAGAAACACCTCCAACAGAAAACCCTCAACCCAAATCCCCTGAACAGAAACCCTCCACAGCTCCTCACTCATCCAATAAGAAAACCAAATCACCTTGCAAAGAACTTATCCCAATCAGAAACCGCTCCCCTTCACCCCCACCATGTCCTCCTCAACAGAATGCCTCCCCTAAACAAAACATCCCTTCTCCCCAACCTTCACTCCAACACCAGAATTCCCTCCCTCAACAGAAATCCACTTCTACACAAATTAACCCCTCACCCTCTCCTGCAGCAAATTCTCCCAAAACCTCTCTTCACTCTGCTGCATCTACTCCCAGGAGACAGCCTCTTCACCGCATTCTTTCATCTGAAAGTGATAATAATGGCTTCCTGTCATCTTCTCTTGCTGGAGACCTTACATCTAAACGCCAACCTACTCCTCCCAGAGAACCCTCTCCCGAGAAACCCTCTCTGCAACAGACCAGAAGGCCTCCCATGCACAGGTCTAGAGGACTAGGAATGCCAAAGCCTGAAGAATCTATACCTCAAATTCCCTTCAACAAGTTTGTTGAAACTGCAGAAGAATTTGGTGGTCAATTCCTGGAAGGCATGGACAAACTGATCCAAATTAATGATAAGCACTTTGAGCACCTTGCTAATGTGAATGATAATCTCAACTCTGGGATGCAGTTTATCTCAGACCGCTTTGAAAACCTCACAGAATCCCTCCACAACTTCATGGTCTCCTCCTCTGCCAGAACAGATGCACTGTCAACAGAAGTGGTAGGTATTCACAAGACCCTTTCTGTTTTTCAGCAAACTCTACTAAGTCAAGGACGGGCCATCAGCACAATCTCTGAGAATCTTGAGGCACTTCAAAGATCTGACAACAGAACTAAGCAGCAACTGCTTTCCATAGAGGAAATGTGTAAAGCCCATCAAGATCAAGCTCAACATCTTCTCTCTGCTGACAGAGACAGATACCAGAAGATGGTCCTGCTGGAAGCCAACAACAAGGACATCTTCTCTGCTATTCAGAAACAGCAAGGACTGATAGAAGGCCTCACTTCTGTCACTCAGACCTTACCAGAGGCCCTTGAGCAGATAGCCTCCTCACAGGCCTCAGAGTTTCAGAAGATCAGCCTTATGCTAGAGGACCTCAATAATGCCAAAAAGGGGGAAAAGGACCCTCAACAGACTAAGCCTCGGTCCACCAGAACTCCTGCTAGAGCATCCTCTTCTGCTGAACCAATAGTAGACCCTGCACCATACTTTGAAGCTGCTTTACAGAAAAAGAGAGCAACAAGTATACCTAGGCCCCCATCTCCAGCAAAGAAAGGCACCAAGAAGAAGAAAATCCTCAATTTTACTGAGTGGATATATGGTGGATCCCAGAAAATTGATAGAGTTCAATTTGAAGAAATGAAGATGAAAATGACTCTCACCCAACAACAGAACCTCTTTCTAGATAAGGATGGTGTTGTACGAGTCAGATATGGGGGATCCCTAGAAGAAACTCAAGATTGGTACAAGAAGAATATTGTTCCTGGCAAAACAATACATGAAGGAGTTCTCAGCTATTTGGATTGCAAGCTATCTCCCATATGGGCATCCTATCAAAGCTCTGGTAACTTATCTCAGATCAGAGCAGAAATCAATGAAGAGCTGCTAAGGCTTCAAAGATTGGAGGAAGAAGCTCTGCAAGCAGCTACTATGGAGAATGTGTAAGAAATATCTTTGTAAACTGTATCTAATAAAATCACATCTCTTCCTTTCACTTTGTAAGGCTTTTTCTCAATACCTGTCTCTTTGCTTTCTGCTTGTGTTTATTTGCTCTTTGATTTATTATCTGCTATCTGAATGTACTGTACTCTTACTATTTTCCTATGCCAAGTTGCCCACCAAGTTTTTAATGGAAGTTTTAAACTTTATTCATTGATGGTGAAGGCACTTCTCTGGAAATAGTTAAAGGGTTTTGGCATCATCAAAAAGGGGGAAAGTGTAAGGAATATTTGTAATTAGATTTTGATGATGCTAGATTAATTAGTACTTTAGAGTACCCCTTTTTAGACTTGATGTATTAGAATTTTCCTATGTAAAATTCTTTAGTAGAATCGACTTAGCAGAAGGCCTCCAGAGCAGAAGACCTACAAAGCAGAAGGCCTCCAGAGCAGAAGACCCTTGATAAGGCATTGGTTGAACAGAGGACCTTGGTTCTCTGCTTCAGAATAGAAGACCTCAGGGTCTCTGTTAGCCTTTACTCTGACAGAAACCCTCCTGGTTCTCTGTTGGATATCGTTTCAACAGAAGTGCTCAAGACCTTCTCTGATCAACTCTCTACTAAAGACACCAGAAGGCCTGACACTTGGAAGAATTCCACCAAGCCAGGAAACCAACTGAAAGATTTCTTCAACGGCTAGGAGTCTTGAACGGAAAAGCTACAGTGCGCGCATTGAATGCACATTTAATGCCTTTCATACTCCGTAGAGTAATTGCAGATGATTGGCCGCAATGTCAGGATTACTTTATCCAAAAATAGTAACCCGCCAACTTTACCGGGTCCTACTGGTCAAGTCAACTGCTCGCTCATTTAATGCAGTTGTCCTCCTTCTCCTCCAACGGGAAGACAACCTCAGTATAAAAGATACACTACGAAGAACAACCATATAACTTTGCTAACTTTTGCTACAACTCTGCATATAAGATACGCAAAAAGCCTCCTTGAGATTGAAACTTCATCATCCTCTACAAGAGAAGGCAGAAGTTGGAAAAATCCTTATTTCCAACTCAAGCAAAGTTCCAAGTGTTCTTCAACTCTTCAAGATCATCACATACAAATTCTTTGTAACGAAGCAAGTTGGAGGAACCTCTGTTCTAAATAGAACCTCTTCTTTCACAAGAAGGACGTCCAAGTACCTGGAGCAGTGAAGTGGTGATACTTCCGGAAAGCTCAGTGAAAGGACCAGTCTTAGGGAAGCCGGAAGTGCCTCCAAGAAGACATCTACACTTAAAGAAGACGTGGAGAGCTTCTTAAGTGATAGGGCTAAGGCATTGTAAACGGAAGTTTTTACAAGCTTAGTGGAACAGTGGACTAGAGGAACAAGTTGTTCCTTGAACCACTATAAAAAGCCCTGGTGTCATTTACTTACTGCATTACATTCATTACTTTTATTTGAACTGCTTAACTCCAAAGACTTGGTATCTGTGTTCAGCAGAACTTGTCTTGTGAGTTAACAGAAGGCCTACTGCCTTTGCTTCTCTGAGGCTATACTAACAGAACGCCCTACCAGAACCCCATCCGCTGCCAGTCTGTTCTGCCAACAGAACAGGCTATTCTGTTAAATCTGGGACTTAACTTGAAAAAGTTAAAAACCAATACAGTCTATTCACCCCCCCCCCTCTAGACTGTATCCAGTACAACCGGGACCAACAGGAAGTATTTATAGGGAAAATACGGGCTGGGCTCCCAAGCCTTGGGCTTGGGAGGCCCATTTACAACTGGACCGCTATTGGTCCGAATACAATGTGTGTAGAAATGATTAAGTGTGAAGTCTAGTTCTCTGAGGGTCTGGCCGACGAGGGCACGGCCGACAGGGGCACCCAGGTTCCCTGGCTTCAGGATCATATTCCGAGTTGGTCCCTCTTCGGCCGACGGGGGTCCTTTGGCCGACGAGGGCACCGCTTGATGGCTTGTGCTTTCTGTTCTTCTGAGTATGTGGGTCCTGGGGCCTAGACCCATATACTCCATCAGGAGTCCCCCACTCTCTAAGATGAGATGTAGACGAAGTGAAGGAGAGTAGATTTCTGTGCTTGATGCTCTTGGCCTATGTGGGACCACCCTGGCCGTTCTCTGTCATGGCGTTGGTGGCCCTGTTCTGGATTTGGCCGTTACCTGCCCCTTGATATGGACGGGGGAGGCTGTCATTCTTTTGGCGCGCTTCTGTGTGGACGATGAGTGTTCTGGACTTCTTGGCCGAGGAAGGTAGTGTCTATCCTTGATCGTTGATGGTTGAACTTTCCTTTTGGGCCGATAAGGCCGTTGAGGTTGTGTCTTGCTTTGAGGACGATGAGCGTCCTTTGTTCTGCATGGCCGGTAAGGGTGCTATGCACTCCTTTTGGCCGTCGTCAATGACGCCATGTGCCTTTGGCCGATGAGGTGTCGTGTTGCCCAAGGTTTTGGGGACGATAGCAGTGTCTGGCCGGAGATGTAGTCATTAGGACCTTGGAACCGTTGTGGTACATGGACGATGTGGCCGCACTTGTAGTTGCAATTGTGTACTTTGTGCATTTTTGTTTCTCATTTTGCTTTCCATTCTTGAGGCCGGTGTAGTCCCCCAGTCCCCCACTGCTTCACGCCGAGGAGTCTCTGAGGGATGAAAGAGTAGCTTGAAACCTAGGCCGAAGCGGGATCCTCATACTGCCCTTGGATCCAACCCTTTGGCGATTTCCTGACCAAGGTAACCCTATGGGAGAACCCTTAGACGCAGGTCGCTTTCAAAGGGTTATCATCAAAGGTTTAGTGCGAGGGCCTAATGGCTGTTGGGTTCCTTTCCCTTGGGGTGTTGTGGTCGTTGATCTGTGGAGGGGGCTTGGCCCCTTGACAAAGTGGTGGCATCCCATTGGTGGCCGTTGGTGTGGCCACTAGGGTGGTGCCACGTGTAGTTACCGTTGGGGGGGGGGGGGGGCTATAAATACCCCTCCCATTCCGAAGAAAGCCTTCATTTGCATCCTGAGCAAACGAAGTGCTGCCCAAAATTCTAGAGAGATAAAAGCCTTTTGCGAGTGTTCTTCACCTCCTTCAAAACTTCAAGGTCAGTTCCTTAACTTTTCTTCGACTTCTTACATATTTTGCTCCCTCTAGACTTTGATCTAGTGTTAGTCACAAAACACCTTAGATCTAAAGTAGACCCCCTTAGTGCCTTAGGAGTTGTTAAGATGAAAACCCTGAACGAGGAGTATTACACGTATGACGACGAGCCCTCCGTCAAGTCTCTTGACTACGACGTGATCGAAGAGTGTGCCGAGGAGATTTAACACCCGAGCCCGTAAGTCTGGAGATCATGTGGACGAGGAGGTCGAGGACGAGGGGTCCACCTCGTCATCTGAGGGTGAGGACGCAGGGGTCTCCCGCATAATGGACGGGGCGTCTGCCTCTACTACCATTATGTGCCCGAAGCCGGTGTCTGCTGTGAAGGGGGCATCGCGGCTGAAGAGGAACAGGCGGCCGAAGAAGGGCCTGAGTTTCTCTTACTTGGACCTTACCAATATTTTTCTCATCAAGCCGGAGAGTAGCGCTGCTGATTACTTGGTCGCACAGATGTACGTGGGGCCGTTTGGGAGGGTTAGGGCGCCTAGGTCGACGGACCACGTGCTCAATCCGCCACCGGGATACTTCAGAGTGTATCCGATGAGCTTTGTCAAGGGGCTAAGGTTTCCCCTTCACCCCTTCATCAAGGATTACTTGGACATGGTGGGACTCCCTCCGGCCTTGTTGACCCCAAACAGCTACTCGTTGATGGTGGGGTTCCTCCTCTGCTGTGCTGAATTGGGTTACAAGCCGACGACGGCCCTATTCATGAACCTTTATCAGATTGGCCGAGGGAGCCATAAAAATTGCGCCTGCTACGCCACTCTGCAGCAGCTGCCGAAGAAGAGGACTTTCACGAACTTGCCTTCATCCATACATGGTTGGAAAAGCAAATTTGTCTTCGTGTCCCTGGGCGAGGGTGGCACTGAATTCCCCTCCGTCGGCCATGATGGGAGGTTCAATCTTCATGACCCGCCGAAGAGTTCGATCCTAGATGCTCAGGTGGAGGCGTTCCTGGGGGGGTGAGGAGCGTGAAGGATTACATCACGGAGTACAAGATGACCGCTATCGGCTTCTTTAGATACTTCGTGTATGGTGACAAGGAGGATGACGTCCAACTGTGGCCGAGGATGACCACTACCTTTGAGGAGGCCGACGGCCTAGATCTGGGCGTCCTTGCCGAAGCTGATGGTAATACTTCCTACGGTGTCCTTGTTTCGTTTTGTTCTTTTACTTTGCTAACTTATTTCTCTTTGTTGTGTAGACTTTGTGATGGATCGCCGATCAGTGATGAATAAGGCCGCCGCGAAGGCGAAGGCGGAGCTGGCCGCCAAGGAGGCCGCGACGAAGGCGGCTGCAAGTCGTGATGTGCCGAAGAAGCCACCCCCCAGCCGAAGAAAAAGTGACCGGTGGATGATTCCCACAAGAAGCTGACTGAGGCCGGCATGCAACCCACCAAGAAGTCCAAGAACGCTTCGCCTTCCTCCGTTGCCGACGAGGTCAACGCTCTGACCGTCCCGATTGTGGACGAAGGGGGACCCGGTGCTGCTGCTGCCTTTGTGGATCTTACCTCCGGTCTCTTCGGGGATGTTTCTCAACCCCTCCCCCTCGCTCAGGGGTCCCGGCCGAAGTGGTCCGGCAAGGAGGTGGCTACGGCCACATATAAGATTGAGGTTGAATACCCCAAGGACGAGGGTGTCTTCAACGATGGCGTTGACGACCATAATGTGCTCTCTCAGGCCATTCAGGCCAAGGACCGGATTTATCTTGACAAGCTCGGCGATGTCAAGGTATACGACGGGGGGATGGACCTTGTCGTCCAGGTAAATCCTTTCGTCTTTAACTTTGTCGTTTTCCTTTGATGTGTTTACGAACTTGTTGCCTGATAGCGTTTTATATTGCAGGGTGCCTTTATGCTCATGGAGAGCAACAAGAGGCAACAACGGGAGATTGCCCGTTTGAAAGAATTTGAGCAGAAAGCAGCTTCGGCCGATGAGGCCATGAGCTGCTTGGGGAGGTTGTGAGAGGACATTGCGGCCTTGCAGAAGAGGGCCGATGAGGCGGATGCGGCCAAGGACGAGGCCCTAGCCAAACTTGCCGAAGAGAGGAACGCCCGTGAGGCTGATCGTCGGCGGGCCGATGATGCCGAGAAAGCCAAAGCCGAAGCCGAGGCTGCAGCGGTGAAGGCCGCTGATGCTGCTGTTGAGAAGTTCTTGGCCGAAGGCTGGAAAGCCGACGAGCACTTGCCCTGGTGTTATGAGGTCGTGGTGGCCAAGCTCGAGGACTGGGGGCAAAACTCCCCTGCCGGCCAAGAGTATTTTGAGCGCGAGATGTCCGTGTATTACAATATGGGCCAACATCGGATGCAAAGGCTCCTCTATCGGCGGCTGAGTCGTGCTTTCAAAGCGCTGAACTATACCCGGGGGTGGGCCAGGCGGAACCTACAGCTTCCCAAGCTGATGAAGGATCCGGAGGAGCAGGTTAAACTTCCCCTTTGTGACAGGCAGGCTCAGATAGATAGTTCTGGCCTCGGCGAACCAGACTATGGTGAAGATGATGTCCTGGCCGACACCGCCACTTCTGCTGTAGAGGCCGGCTTAGATGCCGAGGCCGAGAATGATGCCCAGTTCACCGTTGATCAGAATGTTGCGGGTCAGGCTGCCGGTGAGGGCGCTCAGGAGGCTTGATCAGCCATAACTTATTTTGCCTTGTAATTAGTAGTTTTTTGTTTTTACCGTCTGAATGTAATGGCCAAAATGCCCTCCTATGTAATGACTTCATGAATGAAATGTGCAATGTTTCCGGCCTTATTCTGTCTTCTCGTCGTCTTGTTCTCCTTTTGCTTTTGTTCTCAATTTTTTCAAAATTTTTCTAAGTGTTTGGAATTGGGACTTAGGTAATTTTTATAAGTGCCAAGGTTTCAAGTGAGTGGGTGTCCGCGTCTTCTTGCCATCACGCCCCCTTTTTCTTTTGCCCGAGACTGGAAAATTTTCTAAGTGTTGAACTAACTATATGCCACACTTGGTGATCTCGTCGGCCCAACCACCCTCGTTTCACCCAACCACTTGGTTAGGATTCTATAGGTGCATGCCCCGTCCTTCACACTTTCCTCGTAGCGGGTGGCCGCTTCGTCCGTGTTACCTGTTAGTGGTGTTACATTTGTATTCAACTGATATGTACTTAGCCAAATGTGTGGCTTGATTCGTGGGGATTGTTTTTACTGCTCGAGGCCAGCAAGTGCGTGCGGTCCTCGGTTTCCCTCTTTTTTTTCGTTCCCTATTTCGGGGAGTGTCCTTCTTTCAGGCTTCGACCGAAGGGGTCGATAGTCCTCCGGCCGGTTTGGACTTCGTTTATAACATCCATGGTCTCAGGGGGGTCCCATCGCCTATTTATGACGCGAGCTAGACTTTTGGTTGGTTTCCAATGGCTGTCGTTGCCCAACCCTGAGTTTTGGGGATTTTGTCACCTCGGCCATGATTTCAGGCTTGTCGTCCTGCGATCAGGCACGTGGACGACGCGGTGAACTTCCCATTTCAAGACGCGGGCCGTTTGCGGGCCCGTCGTCCTGGGGACATCGTCGGCCCTGTCTGATAGTTTTCCTCTGAGGGGCCGATACGACGTGCTCTTTCAGCTGGGCCTAAACCTTTCGCTGATACGAAATACAATGGAGCATACCTGAGCCTTTCGCTCTAAGGCTGCAGATGCGAAGTGCCACATCGGCCATACCTGAGCCTTTCGCTCTAAGGTGGCCGATGAGGGCACCCGTTAAAATTTTACTTGAATTCCGAAAAATCAAGGGAAACATGACTTTTATTCATAAGTGGCTCGAGGCCGAGGGTGGTGTTCAATTAATTATCCGTCAAGGGGTGAGGGCTTCGCCGACTGCACCTCCTTCGGATTATTGATAAAACTTTACCAGATGGTGTACATTCCACGTTCGTGGTACATTGGTCCCATTTGGGCGTTTAAGCTTGTAGGTGCCAGGTTTTACCACGACACTGACGATGTAGGGACCTTCATATTTCAAGGCTAGCTTGCCCCCTTCCGTCGGCTGACTTGCTTCCCTTCGGCGGAGGACGTAGTCCCCCACTTGGAACTCTCGGGAACGTACCTGTAACACCCCGGCCTTGCAGGACCCGAGGTAGCTACTCTAGACCAATAATACTGTCCTCACAAACCACCACGAGCCTTTACCGCGCACTTTGTCCTCACTCATGCGCGCCCTGAGAAACTTCCCAGGGGGTCACCCATCCCAAGACTACTCTCGTGCAAGCACGCTTAACTTTGGAGTTCTTGGGTGATGAGCTCCCTTAAAAGGAGATGCACCTCTGTTGGTATGAGTAGTACTATTAATCCATTTATATTAAATCTCAAGTGTTACAATCACCCCCACTTAGGATCGCAACGTCCTCGTTGCGTCCTTGAACCAATCTCAAATCTCAATCAAATCATATCCCAGAATCTTCCCCCGCTAGGTGCCCGCCCGATATCCAACGGGTCATCACACTGTCGTGGGGTTGCTCTGATACCACCTGTAACACCCCGGCCTCGCAGGACCCGAGGTAGCTACTCTAGACCAATAGTACTGTCCTCACAAACCACCACGAGCCTTTACCGCGCACTTTGTCCTCACTCATGCGCGCCCTGAGAAACTTCCCAGGGGGTCACCCATCCCAAGACTACTCTCGTGCAAGCACGCTTAACTTTGGAGTTCTTGGGTGATGAGCTCCCTTAAAAGGAGATGCACCTCTGTTGGTATGAGTAGTACTATTAATCCGTTTATATTAAATCTCAAGTGTTACAGTACCTTGGCGCCATAGTAAGATTTCACTTGACGCCGGTAGTTCTCCGCCCGGATGAATGTTTGTTGACGTCTTTCTTCGACCAGGTGGAGGTCGATCTTCATGTTCTCCTCGTTGACCTGAGGGTCGTACTGCTCCACCCGTCGGCTGGGAATGGCGACTTCCGTGGGTGCCTTTGCTTCAAAGCCATAGCACAGGGCAAAAGGTGTCTCACCTGTTGCCCTCCTTGGCGTGGTTCGATAGCACCATAGGATGTTGGGGAGCTCATCGACCCAACTTCCTCCTGCGTCTTGGAGTTTCTTCTTCAGCCCCTCCATGATAGTTCTGTTGGCGTTCTCGACCTGCCTGTTGCCCTGAGGATAGGCAACGGAGGAGAAACAGTGCTTTATCCCCCATTCTCGAAGGAGCTCCTGGAAGGGCACACATCCTTCGGATTATTGATAAAACTTTACCAGATGGTGTACATTCCACGTTCGTGGTACATTGGTCCCATTTGGGCGTTTAAGCTTGTAGGTGCCAGGTTTTACCACGACACTGACGATGTAGGGACCTTCATATTTCAAGGCTAGCTTGCCCCCTTCCGTCGGCTGACTTGCTTCCCTTCGGCGGAGGACGTAATCCCCCACTTGGAACTCTCGGGAACGTACCTGTAACACCCCGGCCTTGCAGGACCCGAGGTAGCTACTCTAGACCAATAATACTGTCCTCACAAACCACCACGAGCCTTTACCGCGCACTTTGTCCTCACTCATGCGCGCCCTGAGAAACTTCCCAGGGGGTCACCCATCCCAAGACTACTCTCGTGCAAGCACGCTTAACTTTGGAGTTCTTGGGTGATGAGCTCCCTTAAAAGGAGATGCACCTCTGTTGGTATGAGTAGTACTATTAATCCATTTATATTAAATCTCAAGTGTTACAATCACCCCCACTTAGGATCGCAACGTCCTCGTTGCGTCCTTGAACCAATCTCAAATCTCAATCAAATCATATCCCAGAATCTTCCCCCGCTAGGTGCCCGCCCGATATCCAACGGGTCATCACACTGTCGTGGGGTTGCTCTGATACCACCTGTAACACCCCGGCCTCGCAGGACCCGAGGTAGCTACTCTAGACCAATAGTACTGTCCTCACAAACCACCACGAGCCTTTACCGCGCACTTTGTCCTCACTCATGCGCGCCCTGAGAAACTTCCCAGGGGGTCACCCATCCCAAGACTACTCTCGTGCAAGCACGCTTAACTTTGGAGTTCTTGGGTGATGAGCTCCCTTAAAAGGAGATGCACCTCTGTTGGTATGAGTAGTACTATTAATCCGTTTATATTAAATCTCAAGTGTTACAGTACCTTGGCGCCATAGTAAGATTTCACTTGACGCCGGTAGTTCTCCGCCCGGATGAATGTTTGTTGACGTCTTTCTTCGACCAGGTGGAGGTCGATCTTCATGTTCTCCTCGTTGACCTGAGGGTCGTACTGCTCCACCCGTCGGCTGGGAATGGCGACTTCCGTGGGTGCCTTTGCTTCAAAGCCATAGCACAGGGCAAAAGGTGTCTCACCTGTTGCCCTCCTTGGCGTGGTTCGATAGCACCATAGGATGTTGGGGAGCTCATTGACCCAACTTCCTCCTGCGTCTTGGAGTTTCTTCTTCAGCCCCTCCATGATAGTTCTGTTGGCGTTCTCGACCTGCCTGTTGCCCTGAGGATAGGCAACGGAGGAGAAACAGTGCTTTATCCCCCATTCTCGAAGGAGCTCCTGGAAGGGCACCGCTTCGAACTGGGTGCCGTTGTCGGATATGATCTCTTGGGGGACGCCAAAACGGATGAGAATGTTCTTGTGGACGAACTTCTGGCACCTAGCCCCCGTGATGCTGGCCAAAGGTTCCGCTTCGACCCACTTGGTGAAGTAGTCAACTGCGACAATGATGTAGCGGTTGTTGCCAGTAGCTCAGGGTAGTGGGCCGACCAGGTCAATCCCCCACCTCGAGAATGGAATGGCAGTGCTGACGGGGGCGTAATTGACGGCTGGCCGACTAGGGGCCTTCTGGAGCACCTGGCATGTGGTACATTTCCTGGCAAGATCTGCACAATCTCGTGCCATCGTCGGCCAGAAATAGCCCTGGACGACGAGACGCCTGGACATACTGAAAGGGCCCTGGTGTGAAGAGCAAACACCGCAATGAACGTCCTCCATGGCCACTTCGGCCTCGTCCTGGTGCAGGCATCGGAGGAGAGTGTCGTTGTAGGATCGCTTGTAGAGCTTGCCATCTTCAATAGTGTAGCTTGGAGCCCTGAGCTTGGCAAGCTTGGCCCTCTCCTCGTCCTGGGGTAGTTCCCTCGTGGTGATGAAGATGGTGATGTTGGAGATCCAGTCCTCCGGCCGCTGTTGGATGCACAAGATGGGGCTGGCATGGATGATGGACATGCTTAGCTCCTCGATCTTGGCTAACTTGGAGATGTGCTCTGGAGTATCCGAGCTGAGCTTGGAGAGGATGTCGACCTCGGCGTTCTCGGCCCTTGGGATCTGTGTGATCTCGTGGGTTTCGAATGCTTTCAGCAACTCCTCTGCTGCCTGTTTGTACTGCTTCATCCGGCCTTCCTTTGCTTCGTACGTACCCTCAACCTGGCCTACCACCAACTTGGAGTCGCACCTGATTCTGATGTGCTTGGCTTTTAGGCCGGCAGCGAGTCTGAGGCCGCTGAGGAGGGCCGCATACTCGGCTTCGTTGTTGGACACCCTGAAGTTGAAGTGGATGGCATAGTAAGCTCTGAATCCTTCAGGGGAGATGAGGACACCGCCGCCCCCGCATGATTTCACGATCGACGAGCCGTCGGTGAACAGGATCCACGTGTCATCTGGCTCTGGCCCGGGGGTAGTAATGGTCGTCTCCCTCGCTGTGCATTCAGTGACAAACTCGGCCAAGGCTTGCCCTTTGATAGATGGCCTTGGCTTGATCTCAATTTGGAATTGGCTGAGGAAGATCGCCCATTTCACCATCCTTGAGGAACTGGTGGGGCTCCTCATGAGCGCGCCCAGGGGCTGCTGGGTCAGTACGTGGACGGCATGGGCCTGGAAGTAGTGCCCCAACTTTTTCACCGTGTGGACGATGGCTAGCACCGTCTTCTCAATGGGGGAGTACCTGAGCTCGGCCTCCCTGAGTGTTTTGCTGATGTAGAATATGGCCTTCTGCACCCCTTCGTCCTCGCGGATGAGCACAAAGCTGATGGTCGACGTGCTCACCCCCAAGTATAAGAAGAGGGTTTCGCCGGCTTTGGGCTTGGAGAGCACTGATGGAGATGAAAGATACCTCTTCAGTTCTTCAAATGCTTCCTGGCACTCCGTCGTCCACTTGAAGCTGTTTGCTTTGCGCATGATTTAGAAAAAAGGAAGTGACCTCTCGGCTGACTTTTAAAGAAAACGGCTCAGGGCCGCCAGGCACCCCGTTAGCCACTGTACCTCATTGACGTTGCGGGGCGGTTCCATGTCAATGATGGTCTGTATCTTCTCCGGATTTATTTCAATGCCTCTCTGGCTGACCATATAGCTGAGGAACTTGCCGCCTTGGACGCCAAAGGTGCACTTCTTGGGGTTGAGGCGGAGTTTGAACTCCTTCATGATCTCAAAAATTTCTCGGAGGTCGTTAGCATGTGTGGTGGCCCGCTTGCTTTTGACAATCATGTCATCGACGTATGCCTCCATCGTCCGGCCGAGGACCGTCCTGAAGATCTTAGCCACCACTTTGGTGTAGGTGGCGCCTGAGTTTTTGAGTCCGAAGGCCATGACGAGGTAGCAAAGAATTCCCTCCGGGGTCATGAAGGTCGTCTTCTCAGTGTCATCTTCATGCATGAAAATCTGGTGGTACCCTATGAAGGCGTCAAGGAACGACATCAACTCGCATCCCGCCGTCTCGTCCACCAATTGATAAATGTTGGGGAGAGGGAACGGGTCCATGGGGCACGCCTTGTTCAGGTCAGTGTAATCAACACACATTCTGAATGTCGGTGGTTTTTGGGCGAGAACGACGTTGGCTAGCCACGTCGGGTACTTCACCTCCTTGATGTGGTTGATTGAGAGGAGCATGGTGACCCCCCCTTGACGAAGTCCCGCCTGTCGGCGGACAAGTAGCGTCGCTTCTGCTTAACAGGTGCGGAGGCCGGATCGAGGGTCAGCCGGTGGGTGATCACCTTCCGGATGATGCCTGGCATGTCGTCCGGGCCCCACACGAAGATGATGGTGTATGACCGTAGGACGAGGAGGATGGCGTCTCGCTGGTCCTGCGGGAGTTGCTTTCTGATGAAAACACCTAGACAAATGAAGCTACCCATACTCGCCGCATTGGCTGACGAAGGCCCCCGGACTAAAGGGACTACTTAGTTTGACACTTAGAAAAATTTCTAAAGTGTGAACAACAAAAGGAAAGGGGTAACGCCAAGACGAAGCAGACACTCAATCACTTAAAGTCTGACACTTAGAAGAAATTCTAATGTGTTGCTAAAAGCAAGGGGTGTTCCTTATGGACGAAGCATGCTCACCTAAGTTACCCACTTCGGCCGCAGCCAGAGGAAGCAACCAAAGAGAACGATTCCCCAAATCCCAACATAAACAATTGGAAAAATTTCGAAGAACAACAAAAGCAAAAGGAAAGACAAGACGAGGAGGACTTCATAAACATTAAGGCCGAAAGAGAAATATACTTTCATTCATCAAAGGAGAAGTACAAAGGGGGCACAACGACCATTACAAAATAAAAGCGCTATAGCACCTGCCTAAACTACTGAACTACACAAAAGGAAAAGTTAGCCGATCAGTTCTCTGGGGCGACTTCATCAGCGACCAGCCCCCCATCGGCTTGCTCAACAGCAGCCTCGGTGCCCTCCTCCATCCCCACATCCGCACTGGCATCAGCTACTGCGGAGACAACGGTATCGGCCAAGGCATCGTCATCAGACCAATCCGGCTCACCGATGGAGGAGCTGAGTATTGGGTCCTGCCTCTCAGAAGGGGGGAGCTTTGCTTCGGCCTCTGGGTCCTTCATCAGCCTGGGAAGCTTCAAATTCTTCTTGTCCCATTT